ATACATAAAATAATTTTAAAATTAGGATACTTCCAAAAATAATAATCTGATTTCAAAATCAAATTCAAGAGACTTTGTCATGCTTAATGGAATACTCATCATCAGCGTTTCTTACAAAATCCAACAAATTCTGACTCGCCATAGTTGCCAATTCGACCTTTTGTTAAGAAAAATTAAAAAATAAATATAGAATACGGAATATTTCGAGTTTTTTAAGTATAAATTAATCTTGATCTAGAGAATACATTTATTACGCCTTGAAAAAATAATGCGTTCATCCATTGCATCCGTTCTTGTTCCTTTAGTGTTCATTTAAAAATTTATTTGTTTTTTCTTTTTTTTTCTTAATGTTAAAGTTTAAGATTAGCGACAGTGTCAAGAGTGTCAAGACATTGTCCATAGATTTGCAGGCAGAACTTGTACCGATGTGTGATAAATTCATGCAAAAAAAAAAAAATAAATAAATAAATATAAAAAATGGAAAAAAAAATGAAGAAAAAAATAAAAAAAAATTATAATTGTTATTTAAAAATGTAAAAAAATTAAAAATGTAAAAACATTAAACATGTAAAATAAATAAAATAAAAATTAAAAAAGTAAAGCAAAGTTATAAAAAACAAAAATCATAAATATCAATTCTTAGAGGATTCCTTATTTTAATTTCTCATTTATTTATCGTTTTAAAAGAAGTATTAATAAACTTGATCATAGTATTTTTGCCAATACCAATTGTCACTCGGAACTGACATCAACCCTCGATATTTTGCCTTGATATCAGGTATTACATTCATAGACGTCATCTTTAACTACCATAAATAATAATTTCAAGAGTTTAACGTTGTTAGCTTGGCAACGCTGTACCACCACCAATCAAATTATCCCTGTTTATTCGAACATACATCTACAAATGACACGTGGGTAGATTTTACTCCTCAAATTCGAAAACAAGATCCACGAAAATCGCTCTTTAAACGCGGAACTTCAAAATATAAACATTTTTGAAGCTCAAATAAATAAACTTTGCAACGCTGTATCATTGAATCTGTGCTTACGCTCGCGGTAAGGCCTATATGGAAGACGTATCTTATTATAAAATCACACCTAAACCCCATAAAAATATATTTTGGTGATCAGTAAGTTCGTCTTTTTATAAAAAAACTAACCAAACTGAGCATTTTTTATAGGTCTTTGGTGTCAACTTTGCAACGTTGTATCAAGAGAATTAGCAGTATTATTGTATCAATAGATGTATGCAATCAATAATAAGACTAAATGTTGGTTAAATGTCACAAAATATCATAAAATGTCCGATGGAGGTGTTTTCGACAATAAGATACTTGAAAATATGCGAATTTTTAAAGCTTAAATATGCAAACTTTGCAACGCTGTATCTCGGAAACTAGACGTATACTCAAGCTAAAATTTTTACTGGAGGCTTGTCTCACCATAAGGTTTCATTTCAGCCACATACGAATGAAATCCCCGAGTTTCAAAAAAGGGGCCACTTTTTGGGAGGCTCTTTGGCAATAGCTGATGTGGCTTGGTTCCTTTCTGTTAAACGCGGTCCAATTGTGGTATTTTCTTATTTGTAAAAAACAGTATGAGCAGATTTACCTACGATGAGCGTGGCGCCATTGTCAGGAACCCAGCCATTTCATCGATAGCTTTTTGTCATCTAAGATTAGAAATAAAAATGTCTTTGTCTCTTTCTGCTAAGGCAGTATCATCTGCAAAAGTGCCAATCTAGCCCCTCTTCGGTTTTGGGATGTCGCTAGTGAAGATATCATATAAATATGGGCCCAGGCATTTTCCTTGCAGTTTTCCTGCCTTTATTCTTCTACATATATGTTGAATAATAATTATCAAATCTAACTCTAAATTTTCTGCTCATTTTAGGCGTGTCAAGCGTTCTTTCACCCATCCCGGTAGTAGAGGAGCTGTATGTGACATGATAGCCAACGTAGGTATTGACGGTGAAACTACCATACCACGTATCCTGGTTTGTGACGTCGCTGACTTCCTGTCCCACTTAGCTTTTAAATGGAAAACTACTCAACGTCAATTTTAGAAAACCTCCGTGATTTATCCTCTCTTTGCGAAGAGACCTCTGTGAAAACTTCAAGGAATGATACTGATTTGTTCTTCTGCAAAAAAATAAAATGACAGCAGATATTTTTAAACACCGCAAACGAGATAAGACGTCTGGTAGTTTCACCATCGATATTAGGTTTTGTCTATAGTCATTATGCCCTTGCCCATATCAAATCACGCCTTTCTCATGGCACTTAACCCTGCTAAAAATGGTGAGTACAAATGAGTAGAAAATCAAAGTCATATGAATAGAATTTCATTTCATATGAATAGAATTTCAACTCATATGAATATAATTTCAACTTTTATGAATAGAATTTAACTAACATGAGCAGAATTTCTCTATTCACTTTTCGCCGACTCATATGACTTGAGATTCCAACTAACATGAGTTCAGCGTTGAATCTGCCGTGTCCGATACCTATCTCAGAAACTAGTCACCGCATCAAAAAAAGAATAAGAACAAAATGCTTTTATTTTTCAAATTTACATATTACGTTGGTGTCTCCTGGTCAAAACACCCCATCGGAAAAATGAAAAAAAATTAAATTCATATGAATTGAACTTATAGTTCAGTAAACGAAGCATTTTGATGGCCAAAAATTAAAATACGGCCGGACTTAGGCCCAATCGATTCTTCATATGAAAAGGTGTTTTTAGCCAAAAGTCCCCATAAATCCCCTTGGGGGATTTCGCACAGTGGTCCGATGAAGTTGAACATTTGACATATTTTCAAAAATTCACTGCGGAGCGAGAAATAAACTTGGAGAGCTCATCTTTTTTTTCGAAACTGTAGGTAATTGAGTCTACTTTTCGAATAAACTATAGTTTTAAATGTCAAAGTAATTTAAAGGTGAGTAAAATTGAAAGAAATTGAAAATTGAGAATTATTGACAGGCATTTTCCGTATTTACGTCCTTATGAAGACCCGGATCGAAAAATATCCTTCAGTAAAAGTTGTAGATCGTTCTTTTAGCGTTGATTTGGTATATTACATCATAGGTTCATCTTTAAAATTGAGGGAGCAAAAGCGCAAAAACGGAGCGGGTCGACGCGCGGCCGCCTATGATTTGAATCGTAAACTGGCGATTTTAGGTGGCACATGATGGCAGTGATGGTTAATTCACCTCTGCTCGTCTACTTACGACCAAAATCAATCATTTCCATTATAAAGGCTTTTTTTAAAACGCCATGGTTGCCAGTTTTCGCTTTATTGTTTAACTGTTCAATAATTCGCTCTGGTAGCGATTTATGTAATACTTACGGCTTTTTGTTGCTTTTTGGACGACTTTTTAAACCTCCACCCCTTGTGAAGCAACAGTGCAACTACATTTCAATCCCCTTTGGAATCAAGTAACTGCCCTGACCCCCCCCCC